CCAGTGCTCCCGGAGGAGCGGCCAGTTGGAACAGAGGTCCCAATCCAGGGCCCACGTGGTCACAAGTTGGCTTGGTACAGAGCAGGAAGGGTCAGCCGGGCGGGGGGTAGGGGCTGTGAATATTGGGTTGGGGAGCTTGGGTCTTGCCATCACTGCTTTTGAAACAAATTTGAGTCAGTTGCCAACATTTAAAACTTGGGGTAGTTCACATATAAAAGTGCGGGGCTTTGACTTTTCTGAATAAGCAGGACTCTGACAGTGCGAGCTGTTCAGTCCTGCACGGCAGCAGTTGGCTGGAGCCAAGTAGGAGCTATCCTTCAAGTTGGGGCATTCGTTCATTCACTCGCCCATTCATGGTCCTGTTCTCCTTGCCTGGCCCTGTCCTACGTGTTGGTGGTACAGTAGTGCATGAGACAGGCAGAGATGCGATACGTTTCAGGAGGAGAGGCATGAGGCACCCAGTGACGAAATAAATGCGTTGCCAGTGGTAGTGCTGCGGAAAGCAGGGGGGGCGGCAGGGGTTAGGGAGGCTGGTGTGCGCGCCTGGCGGAACACTCTGATTGGCCCAGAGGGGGCGTGGCAGACCACGGGGGTCCGGGATTGGTCCAAAACTGGGACCTGTCTGATTGCAACACCGAATGTCAGGCTGTGACATTTTGTACAGGGTGGTCAGAATAGACCTTACTGGAAAGCTGGCACTGGCAGATACTTGAAGGCGTCTGGGAACGAGCCATGTGGGTATTTGAGGAGTCTTCTGGATGAGAACAGCGTGGGCAAAGGGATAAAAATGTGCCTGAAATGTAGGAAAGTAGCAGGGGATGAGGTTGGAGAGGTAAGGGCTGGCCTCGTAGGAGTGCGGCCCTGGTAAGGACTTTTTTTTCTGGCTGTGCTGCGTGGCTTGTGGGATCTAAGCTCCCCGACCAGGGATTGAATCTGTGCCCCCTGCAGTGGAAGCGCAGAGTCCTGACCACTGGACCTCCAGGGAAGTCCCAGGGGAAAACTTGTTTTGGGGAACTGCTTGCTTCTGTGGTCCTTTGGTTAGAAACAGGGACTGGGGCACCAGGCAAGAGGCTGAAAGACGATTAGACACCTGCTAGGGCTGAGAGTATTCCGGGTGAAACGAACAGCATGAGCTGAGGCGTGGAGACAGGAAGAGGGAAGCAGAGCACTGTGCTCGAGAAGCTTGTACGCTTGGCCAGCTACAGGCCCTCAGCTGCCGAGCCGCATCTTGGATTTTATCTGGTGGGACATGGGGAGCCAGGGGAGGTGTGTGAGCAGGGGAGAGGGTGGGGTTGAGATGGGAAGGAATCTTGGAGAGATGATGTGTCTGGTTCCAGAAGGAAGCAGAGGCGTGAGGGCGGCAAATATGGGCTGAGGATCAGCTCCTGCCTGCCTAGGGCTGTGCCTCTGGTCCCTTCCGATCTGGTTTTGGAGGGCGCCATCTGGTGGCTCGGCTAGAAGCTGACTGAGCTCCGGGGGAGAAGCCAGCAGGAA